CACCGGTCAAGAACTAGAGATGTAGATGTAACAACTTACAACTTCATTCAGCATTTGAAGCCCGAAGAACTGTACGTTAAGACTAATATTAACTGGTTAGATCATCCTTAGCTAACATTAGCTGGGTCCATGTCATTGGTCCGACAGCCCATTAGTCCGACGGTCCGCAGTGCTGAACGGCTCCCGGCGGGCGTATTTCTGCCTTGATGGTGCGCCACGACCAGCTCTGGGTCAGCTGGGAAAGGCTTGAGGCGAAGCAGGCTCACAGCTTATGTGTTTGTCACTTTCTTTTTCATTTTAACCCACACCATGATCTTTTCCTGACCCTAACCAAGTGTTTTTTGTGCCTAAACCTAACCAGACCTTAACCACAGGGCATCATGATGATTTCGGAACGGACTTCGGAACAATGGGTTTAATATGGTCGGAACAATGGGATGTCGAACCAATGGGCAGTTCCCCATTAGCTCAACGCTTTTTGACATACTTGTTTTGACAAATATTGTAACTACCGATTTTAAAAAGCTTTTATGATTGTTTTAAATGTAATATATTGTGACTCTGTTGTTATAATGACAGTACATTTGGTGAAGAGTACATTATGACTTGTTTAGGACTTTAAAACTCAAATTTTAGGACTTGGAACTTGAATGCATATTTTGAGATTTACTTGTGACTTGCGCAACAGTAGCTTGGTCCCACCCGCTAATCATAGAACAAATACGGCTAACTTGTTGCACGTCATCCCTCCTCTCTACCCCCTCATTTAACTTCACCTCTCCACTTTCTGCTGTCTAAAGAAGCATGAATAACACAGTCCACAGTCTTATGATTTGACTCAGGACTTGAGTACAAAGACTTGAGACTTACTTGCAAAATAATGACTTGTTCCTACCTCTGATACATTGATCAGACACCATATACAAACACAGGCACTTCAGGTTTGAGCAGTTTTTGAAGCTTATTTGTAGCAGACTGAAGGTCTGTCAGTGATTTATGGCTCGTCTGATAGCCTTTGGTGTGATCGAACATTTGGTTCCAGGCAAAAGTTAACAAACCACATGCCAGTCGGAAGAGAGTTAAACCTTTAAAGACCTGAAAGCCACAGTGAGGAAGAGCAGAGTGAAGAAATTCTCTCTTGGCTGGCATCGCTGATAAACGACTAGTTCAACTCCCCAGAGGCAAATCAGAATCCTTGAATATGTCTGGACCTGTACACCAGTTGTGTGATGCGCTTGGGCCGATTCCCCGCTGATTCACGACGCATGTTCACATGGTAAAGCACACAATGCCCATTTCACACATTCACGCAGCTCCAACATATTTTCTGCTTCTCAGACCTGATCATTCAGAGAGGATGGAGTTGAAGAAAGACAAAGCCAAAACTAATTTGTCACCATAACACCGAGTTAATCCCACCACTTAGTATCAATTTTCTCCTACAAGAACTGCATGCGCTTTCTCAGGTTGCTAATAAGGTGGAAGTAATAAGCTCCTGGATACAGTTTTAGCGTGCCAGTCGTGCGTTATGAAGACACACTGCATCACATCCCTGAGAAGCACAGAGAGTCACCGCAGTCAAGAACTCCGCTCGCAGAGGCAATTTTAAAACTTATATTGCACAGTCGACTAATTAGAAAGACGTGCTGTTGTCGGAGCGTGAAGAGATGTATAGGAGGAAGACAGCTCTCAGTGCCTCTCAGTGGAGGCAGAGATGCTCAGCCATAGTGGGGTGATGATCATTGTTCAAACTTCAGTGAGAAGTCTAGAAAATAAAAAATCAGACTCAAAACTGCAGTTTAACATGAACAGTAAAGTTTGGGAGAGTTACGTAGAGCAACAGTATACTTAGTTTGACTTCCTGTCACGATCACATGAAGCCTACTGACACCACACTAATCATGACATTTACTGTGAAGAACACAGGCTTCAAACAATCACAAGGACAAGGCAGCCGGTCCAGTTGTCATGGACTTGTAGATTTTCCAAGTACTTAAATAAGTTTTTATCCGTTTATTTATCTATCCAAGTTAATTCCTGACTTTGGAAACTGCAGTTAAGAAAAAAAAGTCTCAAAACAAAGTTGGTTTTGTAGCTGTTTCTGAGCTTTTCTTTTATTATAGACCCTTTCAGGGCCGATGTCACGATGACGTCAGTTTGTTACCTGGAGGTAAAGAAGGAGTCATGGCTCAAAACCAGCCGCCACTGCCCGGCAACGAAAACAAAGACAACTATAGTTAAATGTGATAAGACCAAAGGACTGGACGGAGGCCATCATCAAAAATGCTCACATGTGCAGCGCACACTTCATATCAGGTTAGGGAAAAAGTATTTCCTGTTGTAGTGATGAATAACGTTATGTGTGTTAAGGGTTATCATGTCCACCTCATCAGAAACTGGGGAGGGATTAAGAGGAATATTGGATTTCTCTGTTATGCTTACTTTTTAGTACATTAGCTAACGTTAGCTTCCATAGCAAAACAAACAAGTGTGGTCCTCCTTTGTAAGATTGGCTTCCTGTGACGAAAAGCAATGCACCTAAATTCATACATATCCCACATATTTCGAAAGGCTGCGATTATGTGACCAATGCGCTGATGACAGTAAACAAGGAGGCTTGCCTGAGCGCTTGTAGGGAGGCAGGTTGGGGTGGTGGATGGGCCACAAAAAAACAAACTTTCTCACAGGACTTTCTCCTGGAGTCTTGTGTTTGGATCTATGTGAAATTTTAAGGTACATCCTGACCATGTTTTTTTTTTTCCTAACCCTAACCACAGAAACTTCCTGTCTAAACCTAACTTCTGTAACTTAATATTAATTACGTAACTGTACGTCATTCATGGGGCACAAATTCATATGATATCATACGAACCGTTCTATGACAATATGTTGAGCACACCCCAAATTTTTGATTGTCACTCACCATATGTGTTTACCCAGAGGCAAAAATAACTTTCTCAAGGCTCTCCAGATATGTCTTCTTTTTTTGGATGTTCCTGGAGCTGTCACACCTGTTCCCACAATTAATTAGATTTCCTGCAGCAGAGAGGAGTTCCTTCTTTTTATTACATTTGCAAGAACAGTGTTCATTATTAGCACACTCAAATCAAACAAATTTAGCTCCTGATGCCATGTTAGTATTCATGCCAGTCATGAAGCTTTCACAGTTACTGCAGCTGAACACTCCACTTAAAGAGGCAAAACTTGTATTGCACAATTATAAAGATGCTTTGTTAAAAACCAGATTTGAGCTGAAGATGTGCAGATGTCTTCTGACCTGCAAATCACTACATCAGTGCTTCATTAGAAGTTAAACATTTCTCCAAAAGTCTCATTGAATTCTATTATGGGTTTTATTTTTTGCAGCTTTTAGCGTCTCTTCCATCCCATGTGTGCACTCCATCAACAGCAGACTCAAAAATCAAGCAAATTAACATTTAATTCAATCACTTGAACAAACAATAAACTTAAAGCCACATCATGAAGTAAAGAATCTGGACGCTGCTTTACTCGGAACATTGTTGTGGCTGTTGTGAGTCAAACCTAGCAAACTGTATCAAACTCCATTATAAAAGTAGGTGTTGAACTAATCCTCTGCTCAGCGCAGCCAAGGGAAATAGGGTACTAAGTCGTGCTCTCCATCTTTGAGAGTAGAGCCTCTCATGCAAATCTCAGGGTGTTATGGCCAAACGTTGTTGCACAAAGCTACAAACCCATTAATTCCTGTTGTCGACGGGCTGTGGGAAGCTGGGATCTCGGTGCAGAGCGTGTAAAATGAGGCCTCTGTCTTTTTATGTGCGATAGAGTTTCTCACCTCTTACTGCCATTCAATAGGATTAGAAGGTGAGCCGGTCGGTGGTTACTTGTTTGGCCGTCCTCCTGTCGAGCCAGTTCTTGCTCTCCCAAGATGTATGGCCGCTCCAAAGCCTCAGGCTGAAATATAATCTGGAGCTCTGCACAGCAAATCACATGGGCTCTCTGGGAAACAATACACCCAGGTACTGTATGGTGGGGAGGGGGTGGAGGGGCCAGCGCTCATAAGATAAAGTGGATGGTATGGACTGTAATAGATACATGCAAGGTTTTGACAATTTCAGGATTGAAACAATATATTAGCTCCGTCATATTGGCCCTGAAATAAGAGGAAGGATTGTGTACTCACGGATCAAGTGAAATTTGTTTCAGGTTAATAGCTTTCTGCAAATGCTCCTGAAAGCAGCTCCTCCTCACAACAGACCTTAAAAATACAAGTACAGTTGTTTCAGTCCTGCGTCAAACAGCAAATCTGTCTGCAGTTCATAAGTGCTGATTTTTACTTTGAGAGTTCTTTTTAGTTTGTGAGAGTTTTTCCTGTACTCACAGCTGGTTTAATTCTCTGGAATCTGGTCTTTTTTTTAGGATGCACCAACAAGTATCATATTCAGCATCAGAATCACAATCAAAAATACTGCTGATTGGCTCCACCCATGTCTGAGTAGGGCCTCATTTAGGCCACCTGTGAACCCTGCAGCTTTATGCCCTGATGAAGGCCAGTGAGCATGGCCGAAACATGTTGGTGATTTTAATTTTCATCATGAACTAGCCATTTAATAAAGGCCTTTTAACTTTTGCACCAGAGAAGAGTTGCCTTGGATTCTGTTTTTCAAGATGTACTGCGCTTCCTGATCAAAGAGCACCTTCCTGGATACCATGATACTGCAACCCACATGAGCGCTTCATCTGCTGTTGTCTTCAAGTTTAGCAGGAATATTGTCTTTTTCAGAATAAGGGAATATATTGTGCATGTAAAGATAGTCGGTGTAAGTTCTCCGCAGCAGTGGGAATGTTGGAACAACAGAGGCACCTGTTGAAAAATAAACGCAGTGTGTCCTGTGTTGTTTGTGGCTGTTCGGCTCTGAGGAGAACTGAAAGCAATCCAGTCGACTTTGTGACAGCAGCACTGTAAGAAGGGGGGTTTTGTAGTGATATATATGAACTGATTTTTGTTCTCTGTGTTGCAGGTCTTCCTGAGAACCTCCCTCCATGTGATCATGTGACCCCTGGTATCTGATAAATGCCCCACCAGGCCACGCCCATTCCTTCTCCTCCTTGCCAGCAGCGCTGTTGTCCTCCACCAGCACATGCCTCCTTTGTTCTTCTCTTCCATTAGTTTTATGTGCAATAAACTTTACTTAATTAAGTCCACTTTGTTAACTCGTCTTGCTCCCTTTGAGGAGCTGGGGTGTGACATACTGTATCTTGTAGGTTTGTAGGTTTGTCTTGCGTCTTGTAGGTTTGTGTGTTTGCTTAGCAGCTGCTAACTCATCTCCCTGTTAATCTATGGTGCGTACCGTGTTTGGGTGCAGTCTGGTTTTTCAGTGATCTCCCTGGTTAGTTAGGGAGTGACCAGCTGGACTGAGTCATTCGTCTTTCCTTCGGTCACTCATTTGTTTTTTTGCCTTTTTTGTTTTCGGAGTAATCCCGGGTGGAGACCTGGTTCTCTGGCGGGGGTAAGCATGTCAGAGCCTTGGCCATGTGTTTTTGGGGTTACTGACGCTCTGCTTTTAAAGTCGCCCCGAGCCCGGCACACTCCAGAAGATATTTAGGCTTAGTGAAAGTTAGGCAGGTACACCAGGGGATCACTTCTGTTTGTGCACTCAAACACTGGCTCACTGTGGTACTGTGGGAGATTAGTGAAGTTAGATACTTGGCAAGTTGTCTGAACTGACGCTGTGCAGCTTTTGGTTTGTCAGGTTTCAGTTTTTAACTTAACCGTTGGTCGGTCAGATTTCCTCGAGGTTGAGGATCTCTGTGGTGACACTGGTGGTCGTCTGCAGTCTCCATATGGGAGCCATTTTGGTGTTGTGTTTGTGGTTTGATGGGTTCGATCTGAGCCTGTTTTTGTGACTGTGGCTTCAGTGGTCATTAAATAGAGAGCATTAGAGCAGCTGTTTGTATGGACACTTTTATGTGCATGAGGCACACAGGTTTGATTTAGTGTCCTTTAGTTTTTGGACCTTAGTTGTGGTTCAGTGGAGGAGAGGCCTTAAATATGGCCACCCTTCATTACTTCACTGAGGCTCCTTCTGAGGAGCTGCTAAATCATTAAAAAAAAATCAGCTGCTGAAACTTGCACATTATTATATATCAAGATTAGTCCTGAGCAGGGTCCAAAATAAACACCTGCCAAGCGCCAAACGTGGCAGATTTTCTATTTGACGAGTAAATCTCTGAGGGCTGTGTGCCACATTTAGCCCTCCGGCAAATGTTTGATCCAAAATAGTGAAGTATCAAAAAACTATGCTGAGACACTCTGCCATGTTTGGTGTCATTTAGGGGCGCACCACTTCTGTCCTGTCAGAGTCGTAGTTTCACAGACGCACACTACAGGTGTGTTGTTACACACGTCTGAACGGTGCCAAGAGCTGATCTTCTCGAGCGCTCCTAGCTTTGCAGCACTGTTTATGGCACGGGACATCAGCTGATCGGCTCAGATATCACGGTTGCAATACGGTGTGGCTGATGTGTAGCCAGTGGTTGTGAGCTGTGCCCACACTTATGCTGGTATCTAAATATATTAACACGGAGGCTCTGTAGTCTGAACCAAGACGGCAAACTCGTTATTGCAGAAGGAACTTATGCAGACGTTGAGGCTGAGCTGATGAGTTGATAAAAATATTAATCATGTTGCTTGAAATTTTGCTCTGTCCTCGACTTTAAGTTTGTATTCAACATATTATCTCAATGAAATGTATTTAAAACAAATGTGTATGTGACACAGAAAGGCGGTTTAGTATATTGGCTGCAAAAAAAAGAAGCTTGGCCAGTGGATTTGTCATCTATCAATCAGTAGTGAGTCAATAAGTTAATTCCGGACCCTGCTTCTGAGGATAAGGCCCTAAATAAAGTATTGAGACTTCCTTAAAGCTCCTTTAACTGAAGATGATCTTTTAAAGACTGCTCCTGCACCACAGGCTTCAGCTAAGCCTGCAGTTTAGTTTGCTGATCCAAAAATTCTGCAGTCCACAGTTCGTCAAGAAATGCAGATTTTATTGGGGACCTGCTCAAAAGACCCCCTGTGGGTCCCGGGGACTCACTACATTGAAAACCTACCACCATCTCTGGATGAGTTCATGTTGAGTCATAAGACTAACTTTAATTAGGTTCAGGATGAGCCCAAACAGGAGGCCACGCCCCTCAGATCAGGCAGTGGCTCAGCTATACATACAGTAAAAACCTGTCGCTGTTCACCACTTCCCTCCTTTGTTCATTTCATCTGCAGTAAACTTTACATTTAAATTCACTTTGCTGCCTCCTTTGGGTTGCTCCCTTTGAACCAGGGAGTAATGGGGGAAAAACTGAAATGCCTGTTTTCACTTTAGATTATGCAGGTCGGATGGGATCACATTTAAATCTGGTCTGATCATTTTAAACACAGGTCAGGTCCATCTCCGTCCCAACCCTCACCTATGGTCATGAGCTCTGGGTAGTGACTGAAAGAATGAGATCACAGATGCAAGCCTTTGAAATGAGTTTTCTCTGTAGGGTGTCTGGGCTCAGCCTTAGAGATAGGGGGAAGAGCTCAGAGTAGAGCCGCTGCTTCCTCTCGTCAGCTGAGGTGGTTCAACATCTGATCAGGATCCTCCTGGGTGCCTCCTGTTAGAGGTGTTCCAGGCACGTCCCACTGGTAGGAGGCCCCGGGGCAGACCCAGAACACATTGGAGGGATTATATATCTCATCTGGTCTGGGAACGCCTCGGGATCCTCCAGGAGGAGCTGGGAAGAGGGACGTCTCGGGTGCTGCTCTGCCTGCTGCCCCCGTGACCTGGCCCCAGATAATTAGGTGAAAATGGAAAACTGAAATGTACAACCCGCTCTAAAAGTTTTACATTTGTGACATCTATTAGTGTGACTCAGTAAATCATATTCAAAACAATCACAATATGTTCATTTTTTGGTATTTTCCTTTTCTTTTCCTTGTATCACATTTATCACCAAGTGTCAAAAAGCTGTGAGGTGACCAACATGTACAAACACTGAGCAGCATATTCTTACCAATCACTCCCCAGAGGAAGAGTCTGCTGCCCCCTCAGCTGAGCGGAGTGTGTTTTTAAGGTCTGCTATCTCACACCCAGACATCACAGGGAAACACTGTGTAGGGGGGGTTAGCTACAGAGGGGGCAGATAAGTAAGAACAAAGCGAGCTATCCCATGGTGTCAAAACAAGACCTCCCTTCTCACCCCTATAGACGGCGCAGCCTTGAACCAGATACCAGATACTCCACAGCCGTGCTAAGATTAAGACTCCTTTAGACAAAACTATCACACAACCTGCTGTGGCCCCGGGCAGGGCCCTCAGGCATGTCGGGGATGTGTCTCTGTGCAGTTTAATATTTGGGAAAATGTCTCTGCATTCCAGAGATGGTGGAAATTTTGGGAGTCTGCTCAAGGAAAATGAAATATGCTGAGTTTTCCCTGATGCAGTTTTCTGACATGATGTCAACACAGTGGCATCATGAACATGATAATAATTCTACTGCTATTAAAATAAAAGTTTGTGAGATAACTCTGACTGTCTGCCTCTTTATGACTCTGTGCCGCTGATAGCTGAGGCCAGATCATTATGTTTTTGAGTTGTCTGTCGTTCCCTCTCTTGTGAACGACATATTTAAAGAACACCTTGAGGGAATTTCCTCAAATTTGACACAAATGGCCGTCTGGACTCAAGAATGGTCTGATCAGACTTAGGGCTTCAAAGGTAATGGTGAATTTGTCTGTCTTATTCTCGTGAACGCAGTATCTCAATATCTTAAGAATGCCATGAGGGAATTTCTTCTAATTTGGCACAAACTTCCACTTGGACTCAGGGAGTCACATTTTGGTGGTCAGAGGTGAACAGTCAAGATCACAGTGACCTTGCATCCATCTCATTCTTGTGAACATTATATCTTATGAACACCATGAGGGAATTTATTCAATTTTGGCACAAACATTTCCACAGACTCTGATAAACTAAGTGGATTTTGGTGGTCAGAGGTCAAAAGTCAAGTCACTGTCACCTTGAATCCATCTCAGTCTTGTTGTGATCCAATTTGGCACTAACGTTCACTTTGACTAGGAGTTCTTCCACTAATCTGACAAGACCTCACACAAATTTCTAACAGGATAAAATGATGAAGGTCAACTTCGCTGTGACATCATGATGTTTTAACGTCATATCTCAGGAACAGAAGGGGAGACATTTGGTCAGATACTGAATTGGTGACTCTAATCTTGAAACTGTGCTGATTGTATAGATCTTCTGTGTGTGAAGCATCCATGTTTTCACTGACATGGATGGAGACTGTCAGAGACACTGGACTGGTGGGCGGAGTCATACAACCATCAAGTGATAATTCTAGTTCTGAACATGTTGCATGTACTCACCTGTTCTCAATATGATTTATTTTTGCAACACTGGACCAGTTTTGGTGGATTGCAGTTTCAAAATTGTGTGTTAATTAGGCCGACATCATTTTGACAAACCACACACTGGTCCATCCACTGAGCCAGTACAATAAGCAGTGTACTAGTTTACTTCGCTTTTTATGATGTAAATCTGTGACTGAGATTTTTACTGTTTTGTTCTGAGCAGCTTTTTAAAGTGAGTCATTTCCTTGTGTCTTATATTGCCACTTTACATTCCCGCAGTGATCATTCCCACCAGAAACAAACATGCAGCTCTGTCATCTCTATCGAGACAGACGTCTGTCCACAAGTGTCAATATTCAGGCATCAACCGCATGCTGTTTGTTTTTAAGAAATCAACAGTGACAAATCTTGGCTGAGCTGTGGAGAATGTGAAATGAAGGTGTGAGAGTCTGTGTGAAGAGTCACAGAGGAATCCTCTTCATTGAAAAATACTTTTTTAAAGGAATGTTGTTTGTTTAAATTTTTATGCCTCCACTTTTTTCCTCTCTCTATGCTCTTTGCTCCAACCCCTCATTTTGTGCTGATTGACTCCTCCTGCTGCTTCAGTTAACCTACTCTGGAGGTAACTCAACTCCTGCAGGGCCTCCAGGTGTGGCTGAGGAGCCAGTCAGTGGTAGGACGTATAAAAGAGACCTGTGACCACTGCTCAGGTTTGAACGCACTGACAGATGTCAGAGGACTGAAGCTAAAGTCTCTGACTTTGTGGTGTACCTTTTTGCTTTAA